GGGGGGGGGGGGTCAAGGGACATGGAGGAGGGAAGGAGGTGAGCTGTGGCTTCTGGTCCATTTCAAAGTCAGTTAGTGTCAAATTAACACCTGGAAAAATCTGTAATAAAAGCCCTGAAAACACATTTTGTCAATCGGTTTACCACTACAAGCAATGGTAATAGTTAACAGCTAAGGATGTTTTTCTTTATGAACTTAATTAAACTGTTGTCTATTTAGCCATGAATATTTGAAGGAATAGTTCCAAGATTTGGGGAAATCCATTTATTTGTTTGGAGAGAAAGAATAAGACTGGTACCACTCATGTCTGTACAGCCGGTTAGCTTAGCATAGCTTAGCATAAAGACTGGAAATGGGGGGGAGGGGGCTAGCCTGGCTCCCTCCAAAGGGGACCAAATCTACCTCCCAGCATCTCTAAAGCGCTACAACTAACATGTTATTTCTTGTTTGTTAATTCGGTACAAAAACCAACGACTCCAGGAAGTTACTGCACCCGGTCAAGAAATACCACGTATAGTTTTACACTTTTTGTGTGTTTGACATTGTTCTTTTCACCAGGAGCAACAACCGGTGGATGCTTGCCCCCATACTTTGTATGGGCTTGCCATGGTTTATGGTTTATGGCTTGTAGTGTTTTTTTCTGGTAGCACACTGGCGGAAGTGACGCCAAGTGGATAAATGAAAAAAAAATAAATAAATAATACTACAAATTAAAAAAATAACGTGTTACACAACATACTAAATGCAAATAACATTACCAAAATACTACTAGAATTGCATTACCTTACTTTGTTAGGCTTCATATATATATATATATATATATATATATATATATATGACTGTAACATGCTGCCCCCAACACTGTTAATTATAGAGGCAGAACTGGCCTCACTGTTTTCCCCCCATTTCCAGTCTTTGTGCTAAGCTAAGCGGCTGCTGAAATATTTCCCAAAATGTCAAAATGATTTCATTAATTTCTGAGAAAAATAAATAAGTTTTCAAGGGCTTTAAAATTAGATGTAAAGCTGCTGAGCGCCTCCATCGAAGTGTTATTTCCTTCTTTTATCTGGGTATTGCACTTCAGACATCAGAATCAAATCATCTGACATGATGTGGACCTCGGCCCTGCTCCAGGGAAAGGTGTCTGGAAAGCATGCAGGATATGATAGGGGGTGTTATAGCCGGACTACCTGCATCCACGTCATTGGGCCAACCGCTGGACTGGGAGCTGCTGCCAGCCGCCGGGGAGCGGCCCGAGTAGAAGACATCGTCCACCGGGCTCTCCATCTCGCTGTCGTCAATGGACTTGCGCTTGTTGGAGCTGAGAGAGAGAAAAAGAGGAGGAGGTTGGTTTCATTCTCGAAGGAGGGGAGAAAAAGGAGTGAGAGGGATGTCTTGTATTTTGAGATTAATCATGACCAAAAATGCTATCATGGTATTTTGTAAGATTCTGGCGGTTTCACGGTATATCACGGTATTTGTTTTTCTGCGTTAAAGCATTAATTAATTAACGCCGAAAAGAACCTGCCGGTCAACCGGCCAGCGAGCGGTGAACAGCTGTTTGTGTGGCGTGTCTTCCGTTCCGTCACTTCCTGTTTCCTTCACCTACATTCCCCTGGGTCCTAAGTCCCTCCATGTACAGCTTCTTATCACCCTCTATGTACCAACGTACATTTATTACAAATACCACACATATTACATGGTAATCAGCGTTGCATATGTGTCTGACCAAAATACCTTTTGTTGTTCAGTCTTTGTTCATCCTGCATCGCTCTTTTCTGTTCTTTAATGTAATGTTACTGGTGCGACAGAGTCTCTCCCAGCTGTTAGCAGACTGTTGTTAGCGAGCTGTACCCAGCATGCAGTTCGGCGGGGAAATTTTATAAATGTACAATTATTAGTGTTACAAATTGTTCATGTGTCACAAACTGTTGTGTCGTGGTGTTTTGCCCTGTTAAAGAGCATTCATTGTGGGTTGTTAATTGTTGTTATAAAGTTATGACCATGACTAGGGTTCCCTCTCAATACACTTAAGACAACTAGCTCCGACCGCAGCTCTCTCAGCAGCGAACAATATATTTTGCTGCCTGTTGAAGAGCGACAGAAGTTGCCTCGGCTGTGCACCGGTATGACGGTATATGAAAAATTCATATCGTACGCGAAATTAAAACTGGCCCAGCCCTAATTAATCACATTGTTTGTTTTTCTTATTTCAGGCTGGTTTCTAACTGGAACGAACAGGCACCGTTAACGGGTATTCGGGGCTCTAGTGAAGGCACGCATGTCATTTGCGGGACATTCGAGGACAATGTATGTGCGCAGACCTTCCCCGTAGTCGTAAAAAAAACAAAATTGTCACGGCTTCCCTTCGATGTTTTGTTGTCTCATTACGGTTTGGCCAAAGGGGACAAAGCAGCACAACTGGAGACAGCGAGACAAACATGAGGCCAGAGTTTATCCAGCGTGTTCGGAGCCGAGCACGGAAACGTGCACGCTCGGCGACGCTGGAACTCATTTGTCCGTGTTTGCAGATTCCTACCGACTCGTACATCTGTGGCCGATAAAAATGGAGGGGGGGGCTGTGAGTGCGTTTCTCCCCCGATCCAACGATGTTTAACCGTGCGTTTGCGCTCGTGTGCATATCTGTGCGACATGCGTGTGTGCGAGTGCGCCACCGCCGCCTGTGTTACATTAGTATCAAGGGAGACATTCGGTAATGAGTGCGACTACCTCCGTGGGAGACTTGCATAAAGCTCCATTTCAGTCCTGCAGCGGGAGATGGGCAGAGAGAGAGAAGGACGACAGAGGGGAGTGATGGGAGACAAAAGACACAAACAGAGATGGAGTGACGGACAGATTGGCAGAGGGGGAAAAAATGAGAGGGGACGAGAGGGATTAGCAGTGAAGGAGGGGAAAAAAAGGGAGAAAAAGAGAAACAACAATCAAAAAGCAGAGCAAGCTAAGCATAAAGAACATGGCAGCGTTAAGGGGTTATAGGAGAAGTGAAGAATATTAGTAGAGGAGAAAAGTACATTTTGAGCTTTTGTGTGTGTGTGTGTG